GTAGTATGAATTATTTTAAGGTTTTATTGGTGAACGAAATTCATTGTAAGCGTGTTGTAATGGTGCTATGAAGCCTATATTCTAATCCTTCAGCAACAAAAATAAACATCTGTGCATTGTAGTATGAATTATTTTAAGGTTTTATTGGTGAACGAAATTCATTGTAAGCGTGTTGTAATGGTGCTATGAAGCCTATATTCTAATCCTTCAGCAACAAAAATAAACATCTGTGCATTGTAGTATGAATTATTTTAAGGTTTTATTGGTGAACGAAATTCATTGTAAGCGTGTTGTAATGGTGCTATGAAGCCTATATTCTAATCCTTCAGCAACAAAAATAAACATCTGTGCATTGTAGTATGAATTATTTTAAGGTTTTATTGGTGAACGAAATTCATTGTAAGCGTGTTGTAAAATATATTATTATGTAATTAATTAGACTATTTATAATTGATTAAAAAGTTAATTTTAATTAATTCGGTAAAGAGGACCGCAAGATCTGTATTTTGTTTTGATGATAGAACAAATAATTATACACTAATATATTGATATAAACACCGTAGAGAAACTTATAAACAAGCCCTATACTCGGGGCACCAAAAGGGTAGTTTTACTCAGGCCTCACATATAGGAAGTCCTCAAAAACATTTACAAATTACTCATCTATTGCATTTCTTATGTATTAACAACAAAAAAATCTCCACTTTTGCTAAATTGTATTACTAAAAAAATATACAAACTTTAACCTTATTTTATTTGTTTAAACTATTCGTTCTTACTATATTTATACACTTCAGTAGATTTTTAGTACATAAGTCTTAGAGATGAAAACTTTACAATGAGATAACTGTTTCTTTGTTTAATAGAATTTGCAAATAGCAAAAGTTTATAAATAATTTCCGATTCATTTTGGCTCTAATTAAATAACTTTTTGAAAGTAATTCTACAGTAATATATAATAAATTTCCACTGTCCGTTTGTCTGTCTTTCTTTATTCTGGAGAACAGTGTTATATGTATATAAATTGAGACCAGACCTGGAAAGCTTAAGGACAGGAAGCCCCAATTAATTATATATGAACGTCCGATGCAAACAGGAAGTCACGTTATTTCAATTCAAAAATTTCCCCTGAATGCAGTTAGATAGATGACCGGCACGACTCGGATGCTAAAGGAAAAGTATGATGTACAGGGGCAAGAGTACACAGTACTTATATAAATTATTAAATATATAAATTATATAATAATTAATTAATTAATTAAAGAATATCCTATTAATCTTCTGTTAAGTTCCTTCTAATAAGCTTTCTATTAATCTTCTATTAAGTTCCTTCTAATAAGCTAAAAGCCTTAAAGCCTGTATAACTTAGTTAAGACTATTGATAGGATTCTAGCTTTAAGTTTTGATAAGGCTTCATAATTAAGGATATAGACCTATGTAATTTGTGATAGCCTTAATCATCTAACAAGAAATTTTCCATTAATTTTAAATGATAAATATGGAAATATAGACATATAACACATTAAAATATCTTATCCTAGAACTGATTAATATTTAAAATTTATCACTAATTGCAGCTGCTTTATTCTCTATAAAACAAGAAAATTTGATGACATTTTTATACTGCAATTGTTTAAAAGAGCGATTTTAAAATTAAATTAGCTCTACAATGAAGATATTAATTATATTTAACATCGTAATATTAATTGAAGCATCGATTGCTGGTAATTATAAACCTATTTGAGTTACTTGAGCATTCAAAAATATTAGATTTTTTCTTAAATTTGTCGTTTTATAACATTTAAAACAGATTAAATTTAAGATAAATCGTTAAAATTTGTTCTAATATTTAATTATAAGCATTTATTTATATAAGAGAGAAATAAATACAACACTTCTCGCAAGACCTTCGTTCAAAAAGGATTTTTGAAAAATTTTGGAGAATTTTCTGGAATTCTTCATAATTTTTCTTATATTACACATCTTGCACATAAAAGGCGAATCATCTTTAGCTGTTCATGTTAATGTCTGTGAAAAATGGCGAGAGTTAATGCAGTACCAGGAACAATCAGGACTGAACCTTACAGAAAGAAAGATTTATTGGAAGAAGATGGAGGGGTTTACAGGCTTCAATGTACGTGTGGAGTACCGTATTACTACGTTGGAGAAACGAAACGGAAACTAAAAGTGAGGATGTCGGAACACTTGGCAGCAGTACGAAATAAAATTAATACATCCCCGGTATTTTTGCATTGCCATGTTAANTTGTTTTAAATTTTCATAAAGATGCTACTCTAACGTTGGTAGAACTGGTAGAGCGCAACCATTATCATTAGGATACGGATGCTATTTTCCAGGAACCATGGCTCACGAATTGGGTCACGCCATAGGATTTTATCACGAACATAACAGATCCGATAGAGACGATTATCTCAATATATTCTGGATAAATATCATGCAAAGTAATTAATGTTACTATATACAGAGTGGTCCAAAAGTCTGTTAACCAAAATATATATTTTTTTAAGAACTAATTTGGACCAGCTGAGTCTTCTTAAAAAATAGATCCATTAACTGACTTTCATGTCGTATTACTTTAATAAATATTAACTAATTTCTATTTAAATTTTTCTAGATATGAAACCTCAATTTAAGAAACTATTTCCAACTGAAAATGTATTGTACGACGAATTTAATTATCGGTCTATAATGTTATACGGAGAAACTGCATTCAGTAAAAATCCGATAAAATTCAAGACGATGGTTGCCAAAAAAGAAGACGTGACTCTTCGTGACGTGCACGATAAACAAGGTCCGGACGAAAGCGATTATTATAGAATAAATAAGATGTATAACTGTAAAGAATTTTTAAAGAATGAATAAATATTTTTATGATTATCAAGAACCGAAATTTAAATTTATATCATGAAAAAAATTATCTTTTTTAATTTTCTTGTATTGAGGGATTCAATTTTGAATCTGTTCTCGAGATTTTTCTTAATAATTCGGTAATATCACGCTACTTGATCAAATAATCATACACGATTTGACTACCGTATCAGTCGACCCCCCTATAACACTGTTGATTTTTCCGTGTTATATGAATTCCATGTTGTACGAGTCACTTAGAATTTACAAATACGTGAGCCGTTCACAGCCCGGTACACGTATTTGTAAATTCTAAGTGACTCGTACAACATGGAATTCATATAACACGGAAAAATCAACAGTGTTATAGGGGGGTCGACTGGGTACTACATGTAATAAAATTCATCATCATCAATTAGTTAATTATACTTAAATGAATCGTAAAAGTTGGAAAAAATCACGACTTTCAAAAATTTATTTTGCTAATTAACCTACAAAAATAAATAAGAAAAGATTAACGTTATTTACAGCTAATAAATTATTTTTATAATATTATGTAATTTTTATCGGAATTTGCAGCTGTTTCATTCCTACAAATAAATATAAATACACATAAGTTTAATTAGATAACTGTCAAAGTGCAAAATGTTTTCTAATGTAATGATCGCAATTATTATAAATTGCATATTTACAATTCAAATTCTCAAAGCTGGTAAGTGTATTAATCATTTATTATTAAATTATGAATTATTCCTATTTATAAAATTAATAATAAAAATACAATTTAGAGTTTTATGGCGATCTTCCTATGCAAAATCCCGACTTGTTCGAAGGAGACATTTTAGGAATTGAAGATCCTAATGTAATTCGTATGATTTATTGGGTTTTAAATTGGATCACCATAAGTTCGATATTTATGATAAAGAATTTATAAAATAATAATAATACATTAACGTATTTTATTGAAGGATCGTGGTGCTTTATCCGACGAAAGACTAAGATGGCCAAATGGGATTATATATTACACTATCGATCACGCGCTCAGTATGTATGGAATATTAAATGTGTGATTATAGAAATAAAAAAAAGCATTATATTTCAAAACTGCAGAAATACAGGATAGCTCAAAAGTCAGACAGACAATTCAAAAATGCACAAATATATGTTTACAACACTGGCACTTAGCCTGGTACACGAAATTCAACACCTGTAACCATTCTAAACCTGTCGAATATTGAATTACACGGGTTTTACATGCAGGTGTACGTTTAAAAGCGATCTGGAATAACTTTGTCTAGAATAATCTAAATCCAGAGATCTATCGAATGCGACAAGATCGTATATAACTGTATCAAATAGTTTTAACCGTTCTTAAATATATTTATAACTTTGTTAACTGACTTTTGGGTCATCCTATAAATGATATTATTAATTATAAACACGAATTTTGTGAATGTTAGGATTTCATGTCTCGCGTATCGAGCTAGTAATGAAAGAATACGAACAGAACACGTGTTTAAAATTTGTAAAACGTACGGACGAAGAAGATTATATAAAAATTTTCGTAGGAGAAGGGTATGTAAACTTAACGAGCGTTTAATTTTTATGAAATTTTGTGTTGATTAAATTAAAATTTTTATAAAGATGCTACTCTCACGTGGGTAAGACCGGTGGTGCTCAACCCTTATCTTTAGGGAATTTTTGCACCTTCCACGGAACAGTAACTCACGAATTAGGTCACGCCATTGGTTTTCTACACGAGCAAAATCGATCGGACAGAGATGATTATATTAATATACATTGGGAAAACATCCAAGAAGGTAAACATTATATTTCGAAATCTTATTTTACTGCGTATCAATTTAAATGACTGTTTATTCAATTTTTAAGGAATGGAAGATCAATTTGCTAAATTTTTGCCAACACAAAATTTATTAATTAATGAATTTGATTACAAGTCTATCATGTTGTATGGGGAGAAAACATTCAGCAAAGACAGAAGGAAATTGAAAACCATGACTGCCAAGGAAGAAGGTGTAATACTTCGAGAAGTAGTCGACAAAATGAGACCATCTGCCAGTGACTATTATAGAATAAATAAATTGTATAATTGCAAAGAATTTTTGAAAGACGAATAAACACATTCTTTAATTTTTATATTAATGTTACTTAATTATGCAAAACAATAAAAATTTCGAAAGTTTGCTTTGTTATTCTTATATATTTTACTATTTATACTTAAAATTTAAATCAATGTAAATAAATAATGTATTAATATAATTAATACATTATTTATAACGATGGGATTCGTTTTAGTAACGTTATTTCTACGCGATTCGACTTCTCAATGCACAAGTCCGACATCATTTCAGATATGACACGACTCCTCTATTTTTCCTCTCATCCACTCCATCTTTAACCACGTATAAACGAATATTCTGTGCCCACGTTTTAATTTATAATTCCATCGAGGATAAAACATTTAAATACAAATTAATAATTTATTTGATTACCTTTAGATTTATCATTCTGTATTATATAAAAGGGCTATTGTGTCGATGATTGTTTATGATAATAGTAAGAACCATTATGTCGTATTAATTTACACGTTAGCCGTTTTGTTTATTGAAGAATGGACATTAAATTTGCTGATAAATGTTACAAGATAGAGAATATATTATATACAATTAAAGGAATTAGTACATAATCCACTCTGTCGTTTATCAAAGAGCAGCTGTTAACTTTCGATGAGATAATAATATCAGAATATTAGAAAGTTCATTTCAAAATTGTTTTTAGTACATTATGTTATTTTTACTTTTAGTTTTCTTTATTCCGTATCTTTTATCATCACGTAAGATGCTTTTTATGTATTAAAATCGTTTAAAAATTTACTATTTATCAAGGAATTTGAATTTCTTTAGCGTTATCAGACGATATAGAATGTGATTTAGATGCTTATTACGAAAATAATCCCATTCCTTTTACGAAGGTATGTCGAAATATTTGCCAATTTTTTATATAAATATTATTTGGAATGCATAGATTAACTTTTAAGATTACTTTAAATAAGTTATAATGTTTAAAATTTAATTTTGTGAAATAATTTATAACAGCGCAACGCCGTGACTGGGCGGCAACAACTATGGCCCAAAGGAATAATTCCTTATGTTATTGATGAATCACTAGGTAAAATACAGTTAAAGTTTATTATTTAATTATATAATAATACAGTTTTAACATATAAAGTAGAAATTAGTAAGAATCTAAAGACTTGCGTGGAAATTCACCTTATATAATTAATTAATTAATGAACCAAATTTTACATCAATAAATGCAGATTTTCTCAGAGATAGAATAGAATCTGTGATGAAGGAGTTCGAAAAAGTAACGTGTGTCCGTTTCCAGCAAAATACCGATCCGGATAAATTGAATTATATAAAAATATATTTAGGAAATGGGTAATTTTAATTTACTTACAATTTATTTGTTAATCAAAGTAATGATTTACTTAAATAATTAATTAAACGTTTGTAAAAATTTTGATTTTTAAATACAAAAATGTTTTTCTCAAGTCATAATGTAGCAAATGCTTTAACATCCCTTTGATAGTTATTATGAAAATTTTTTTAAATATAACAAAGTTATACTTAGAGAAATTTTATATACAGATATTTATCTATTTAAATTAGAATTTTTAATATAAATACTGTATAATAATCTGAAGCACCTTTGCTTTAATGGCCACGGCTCCATTGTGTGAAAAATACTTATAGCTTGTAGAGAGTACTCGCAACTTGTTACTGATTATAAGTAACTTTACTTAATCAAAATTGGTCACAACTGACTTATAACTTGTTACAAAACCTTTTATTTAACACATTTTGCTTGTAATTTATAACTTGTAAATCTTATAACAACTACAAGCAGGCCTGAAAGTACCCTTTTACTAACTGTCCAGAACTATGTCAGCGATTAATTCTATTTTAATAACTTTATAATTGTTTTATTAGATGTCATTCCATGGTAGGACGTTTCCCTTTATCGCACCAATTAATTTCTCTGGGGTTGGGCTGTCACAAAATTGGCACAATCACTCACGAACTCGGTCATGCGTTAGGACTTCATCACGAGCACAGCCGTCCCGATCGAGACGATTATTTAGAAATATTATGGGATAACATCAAAGAAAGTAAAATATTTAAGAAAACTTGCCCTTTCGAGAGCATAATTTATGAAATTTTATGAATTTTATTTCTTTTCTTGCAGATCGAAAAAGTCAATTTAAGAAACTCTTATCAAACGAATGTCTTTTGATTAACGAATTCGATTACAATTCGATTATGATGTACGGAGATACAACTTTCTCGAAAGATGGATTTTCTAAAACAATGGTAGCAAAGAAAAAAGGAATTACTAAATTATTGCATGTTGCCAATAAGACTGGATTAAGTAAATCTGATATAGAAAGGATTAATATTTTATATAATTGTACACATATATAAATATCATCGTGTATTATTTAAAAAAAGTGTATTTAAATAAATTACAATTAGTGGAATTTACGTGCTATAAGAAAATCTGTAGTAAAATATAAGACGAATAAAAAAATAAATAATAATAACTATGTGAATACATGCGACAGCAAACAAAGAGATTGTTCACGTGTATAAGAAAATACGTGAGATCCAGTTATAGATTAACATCACAATTATACGCTTCTATTTATAATAAAAACATAGAATATACAATATAACTGATTGGCGTCATTAAATGAGCCATCCAGTTTCCCTGAAACTCAGTGTTATCAATTAAGATTACGTTTGTAAAAATAACAATTTCAACCGTGTAATTGCCTGATGTACTAAAATGAGCATTTTTTTCAATCGTTATAAACATTATAACGGTGTAAAAAGGGAGGAATGTAAAACAAAAGACTGTTAAGCAGTTTGTATAAGCGCATGTTTTATTGTTATATCTACGAGATGCGTTTATCAAACAAAATTAAAATTTACTGTAATTATTAGCAGTCGTTTTTACATTTTCATCCTAGTAAGGTGATGAAAATGATCAATTTAGACGCAATTTGTCATACACTGAAGTGACAAGTCGACTCTTTGTTGGTTTTTATAAGAGACTGTTCATAAATTACGTCGCATTTTTCTTGAAAATTTTACTTCTTCTCTCCCTCTTGTCCCAGTTCGTCCAAGTTTCCGTAACCCCTTCTCTTCTACGGACGTCCAACAAAATTCAACCTTCCCTAAAAACCTTTATCACATTATGAATGATAGATATCATAAGTAGAAACAAAACATACAAGAAATTTTGAAATAAATATAATAAAATGAATAAAATGAATAAATTTTAACGAAATATACGTACGTCCAGTAAAGCTCAACCTCTCTCCTTCCCCTTGTCCGACTTGTTGTCACCTCCTCCCTCCCTTCCAGTGTAGTTGTCATTTATGGACAGTACCTAACGTCAAACAGTCTCAGTGCTTCCGAGTGTCTTTATTTTCTCTTAAACTCTACATTTATCATAAAAATACCACAAATACTCACATAAAACTATGAAAATTGTATATCTATCGAAATTAATGATAATTTGATAGAAGTTCGTGTTAAAGTTTTCAATAATTTACATATATTTTATATGCCATTTGTTTTCTTTCTATGTGCTATTAGATTTCATTTACACACAACAGTGACGTGACCGAGAGCACAGTCACGTCACTGTTGTGGGTGAAGAACTTTTCTGGGGATGAATTGGCTACGATAGCTATATGTTTGGATNATATTTTAAATAAAAATTTATTTTTAAAACAATATATTAATGTTAAAGAAAAATAAGTTATAAAAATAATTGTATAATACACTTTTATGTATTTTTCACATAAAATTCATATTTATTTTAGAATTGTAGCAGTCCTCTATCAAAGAATTTAGATAGAGGACTGCTTTAATTCTATCAAAAGCTGATATGCATGGAAGGAGATGAGAAAATTACAGCTGAAAAACATATTTTATCATTAATTCACTAGAAAATAAATATAAAAAATAACGAATTTATTCGTTAGTAATTTATTATCACTCAACTTGGCATTGGAATAGTCATAGTTCTAACAACCATGCACTTACTTATTATAATATATTCTTTAACGGTTTTAATAGTTAATGCGTATTTTGGTGAGTAATATTTTGATTTTTTAAACAATTAAAAAGTATATTTTAATGCTAATCGTTAATAAAATATTTATAATTTAAGATTTAGGGGATATACCAATGCAAAATCCTGATTTGTTTCAAGGTGATATTATACTTTTTGATGACGACGACGAAGTAAGAACGATGTTATACTCATTTTAAAATGTTTTATGTTGTTATTAAATCTATTGTTTTATAATAAAAATATTTTTAAACGCTTCAAATGTAGAGAAATGCTGTTGTGGGCAAAAACAGAGTATGGCCTAATGGAATTATTCCATATACAATTGATGCTGCTTTGGGTATGTTGCAATCGTTATTTATAATTATATTATAAACATTTTATTTTAAGTTATTTATATTGATGTGTAGAAAGTGCAAGGAGTAGAATTGAAGCAGTGATGAAAGATTACGAGGAGCTTACCAGTGGTTGTATAAAGTTTAGACCTAAGGAAGATCAAAATGCATACGTCAGAGTATTTAAAGGAGTAGGGTGAGGATTTGCTTAAAAATCTAAAACTATTACGCGTAATATTATATATAAATTAATAATTGTATGTATTTTATGTAGGTGTTATTCCCACATTGGTAAGACATTAGGATCACAACCTCTTTCTTTAGGACCAGGCTGTCTTTCGTACGGGCACATAGCTCACGAATTAGGACATTCTATAGGGTTTGAACACGAACACAGTCGATCAGATAGAGACGATCATATAACAATATTCTGGGAAAATATTCAAAAAGGTAAAGTACACGATAAATTGGCTATGAACAGTAAATATTGTCTTACACATACACTACTCTTCTTATTCTGGGAATGTAACATCACACTTTATTATTATTATTATTTTCTAGGTATGGAAGATCAATTCAAGAAACTCAGCCCTTCGAAGAACCTTTTATTTAACGAATTCGATTACGATTCTATCATGTTGTATGGCGAATACATATTTTCGATAGATCACTCTGAAAAGAAGACGATGGTTGCCAAGAAAGAAGGAGTTCGATTGAAAGACGTTAAAGAGAAAACAATTAGTAAAAGCGACGTTTATCGTATTAGAAAATTGTATAAATGCGAATAATAACGTTCATTTTATTAATAAAAATTTGTTTTGTGACAATAAAAATGCTGAAATTCATTTAAAATGTAAGAGTAAGAATTTATTAAGGATTACGATTTTTAATGAAACGTAATACTTAATAAATTCTTAAGATTTTTAATGAAACTGTGACCGAAGGGTCTGCACCTCTTTGGTGCTCTGTCAGGATGACACCATCGCGTCTCGGCGGACACGGAAGCCGCGTTATTTAGGTCACGCGAGCGGTCGCGTAACGGAGCGATCAGAGTCGAGATAGAAGGAGAGACAACGCACCGGAAGTGATTTACTCAGACGCTTTTTTAACGTAACAACTGTTTAATGGTTAACGATAGGATATACATTAGGGCTGCTATTAGATACATTGCTCGCTTTAGTATATAATGATATTAAGATATTAAGATATTACGTTTCTTCCCGTTTTGAGAGAGAGAGTTTACAGAAGTTCGCGTGTCAATATTTACCTTGTATGAAATCCCAAAAGAAGACAGTTCCGGACTCAGAAAACAGAAGACACAGTTATTAGGCGTGGAAATATCCAAAGGCGAAGAAATATCCAAGGGCGAAGAAATATCCAAAGGCGAAGAAATATCCAAAGGCGAGGCACAGGGATAACTTGAGTGGTCCGATCGAGGAACTGGTGACGACTGACTCACTTTGTTGTTCTTCTCTAATGTTGAATTGTTAAAATCGCTATACTAGGTCGAAAGGTGATGAGAAAGCGTCGTTATTACGCCTGAGAACTTAGCAGATGTTTAGCTCCCAGGTGTAAAAGTTGACAGTTATTGAACAAAAGTATAGCTGCACTGTGATCTTATGACACCGTGAAATGAAAGTAGGACTACGATGTGATATTATGATGAGATGATATAAACACATCCGAATTCGGATCCTCACAAAACTGTTGCGATTAAAACCTTAAAAAAACATCCAAATAATTAATATCGCCTAACCAATTGTTATTACCTAATTACAACTTTTCGTAGCTAAGAATGAAACACGTATCCAGGTTACACAGAACGAGGTTTGTGCATTGTATGTTTTCTACCACCAATTCTCTCATCGTTACAGATATTTGGAATTAAGACAGAAAATTACGATTGTAACAAATCTGCCAAAAATTGGATATATCTGTCGAAGTTATATCCTTTATATCAAACTGCTATAGATATATGTTTATGATGACTAACTTAAGACTTTCTGCTCAAGAGATAACAGGCAATTTGATGTGTCGAATGGATCCGAATGTCCCCTAATAACAAGATATAAACTTTATTCTAATTACATTTCGTATTTTTCTAGTTTTACGATTGTTTTTTTATTTAAAGAAAGAGGCTTTATTTTCCTAGAAATAAGTGGATACGAAGAAGAGGAACAAATGGCAGACTGTATTCGAATATTTTTTTATCTGTGGCCTTACACTTTTATTTTTTTCGATAATTACAAGTATTACTGTAATTGACTCGTTCCTACTTTAAAGGAACAATCAATTCAGAGTTTGAGCTCTAATTATGTAACTTGAACCTTATAATATAATCGAGATGGGTTGATGAGGATAATAATAATAATAATAATAAGCGCATAGCCCAAACGGTTAGGAGTTGAAAGTTGAAATTTGGTACACAAATAACGGATTTCTCGAAATCCCCCCGCGGAAGAGTGGGAAAATCTTAAGGCTTATCCTAAAAACTCAGCTTCTACTGTACTATTTTAGATGTAATTTTTTGTTTTTAACTGCATTTTAATAGGGGATTTTAATTAAGTGGGATATCACGTGAAGATGAAAAAAGTGTATTCCTTAATTTAATTAACAATGGAAGTGTAAAGAGTTGTTCAACTTTCCCGGCAACATTTAAAATTTTGATGTCGCCATCTGTTATCATATTTTATTAAAAATCTTTTCATATTTTTAACCGTTATAAAATGATAAAAAGATTAATTTTCAGAATAGGAATGAGTTATATATATATATATATATATAAATTGTAAATGCTAATAACGAGTAAAATCCCCATTAAGTCCGACCCTTTTGGAAATACACTCGACGCTTATTATCTTCTCATCCCTCGACATTTAATCAATTTCAGAAATTTTCTACAAAAAGGACAAGAGTTACTAAGCTTCAAACATGGTTAACAAAATCCTGCCATACACACACAAACATCTATCATCTCCCTATTTCAAATTTCCAAACATTTTCAGCGATTTCGAAAACCTATGCATTGTTAGTCTCTACAATCCTCCGAAAATTATATTGATAAGTTACTTTCAAACTCTGACTCCCATTCTTTGCCCTGATTTCATTCCCCACAAACTGCCAAACACTTTGACTGATTGAGACTAAATTTTTCCAAGTTACTCTCCGCCACCCTGCGGGAAACGTATACAGTAAAGCCTCGATTATCCGACCCCCTATCAACCGACACCTCGGTTAACCGACCGTCCTAGTCGGCAAATTTCAAATGTCCGCTATTGATGTGGCGCTACAATATTTGGCTATGTCTTGGCTATTTTAATATTATTTTTACGTGTTTTAGCTGGCAACACTGGATCGACCATGAAAGGGAGCCAGTATTTAAACGAAGCTTAACTTTCTAATTTTTAACGATACAATAGCGACGATTATTATTTTTAAAAAATTTTTGTTAGGCTTAACATCGATGAAAATTCAACGCGAAGTAGGTTAATAGCGATATACTAATATACTAATTACATGGGATATACTAATATACTAATTACATGGGATATACTAATATACTAATTACATGGGATATAATAATATACAACACTAATAATGGATTTTTTCATACTTTTCGGTTATCCACCCTATTTATTATCCGACCAACCCCAGTCCCCAATTAGGTCGGATAATCGAGGCTCTACTGTACTACTTGATAAAGAGGGAACTCAACTCTCAACATGAGATACTTTGCCAGTTGTAAATAAACTAAAAGCTTTTGTTCTGTATAATTGAACAAAATATCTTGACGGCACTGTTCATCTATTCATAAATATTTATAAATAATAGTGATGTAACGAATATTCGGTTACTATTCGGTATTCGGCCTATTCGGCCTATTTTTCACTATTTGGCCGAATACCGAATACCTAATCACTATTCGGCCGAATACCGAATATTTAATCACTATTCGGCCGAATACCGAATATTTAATCACTATTCGGCCGAATACCGAATACCTAAAAACAGGAGTAATAAATAACAAAAACACAGTAAATTAATCGTTTTGGTATTTAGAATTAATGTTATCGAGTTAGTGCTGTTTGTTTATATTTATTTATAACTTGTAACATACACAAAATAAAAAAGAAAATAATATTAGTCACACGTATTCACAATTTATAATTACAAAGATCAGCACACGTATACACCTATTCGTTCGAGAATCCTCGCACATCTGAGGGTCTGACCCTGCCTATACTTCTTTTTAAGCGCTCGTCTTTGCTCTTCTCTTTCCTCTATTGCTCTAGTCCACGTATACCTATGCATACATCATAATACGCCCTCACGATACTTTCAATTCGTCACTTTTCCGTCGTAGATTTCCCATTTTACAATTACGTGTCTCGTAGCCTGGTGATAACGGAGAAAAGAAACAGATAGGACATCGGTATAAGTCACAGTTATGATTTCACAGATTCGAGACAGCTTGATAGCCCGAACGGCCTCAGGCTTTCGCCCGTGCACGCTAAGTGACTTTCATTACAAGCATTTAGCTTTCCGAAGCCTATGACAACAATTGTTTGGCATTGACTGCCGCGAATTTCGTGTCAATAAGCTGCCTCGATTGTTCGATTATATTATCGACTCAATTTCATATTTATTTTCACATTTTCACTTCGCGGTCCTTCTCTGTTCTTTTTCCGTTATTTATACGTGTAGGTCATTTCATCGTTATTACCATTTGATATCATTTATCACATACTTCCATGACAATCTTGTCTGTCCGCTACAACTGCCAAGAATTAACGCTATTGGCGAAGCGTAGTGACAGCGGGCCAATACAGAGCAGGATCCTTGCCATAATGCGGTTTGCGCGCCAATTTTCGTACGTGCGTTAATCAAGCCGAATAGTTTGGCCGAATATTCGGCTATTCGGCCTGAGGCCGAATATACTATTCGTTACATCACTAGTAGTAATTAAAACACACAAAAATTGTAGAAAATTTTGTAATATTCACAATATACTCAGATTTAACATTTTTTTAATTTTCTCTTTTTAAATGACTGCAAAAAATGTTTCAGTGAAAAACCATTTAGAAGTTTCAAGAATGTTCAAATGGGAGGAGTGCAGTTTTTTTGATTCAAAGCCAAATTATTGTATTGCAACAGAATCCACAGATTGCTAGTAAAGTGGAGCCATATTAAACATGTGTGTAACTAATTTGATAAATTAAAATACTTCATAATTTCATTGTGAGTTTTGTTCAAAAAACTTGCTTTTGCACTCATCACATAATTTAACAATCTTGTATCATGAAATAAAAGTTTAAAATATTATAAGAACAAAAACTATGTTTTCTTATGAAATATTATAAAAATTATAATTCAGTAAATATTTTTAATAAATACAACTTATAATTTTTAAATTTTAATTATTAAAATAAATATTTTAAAAATAATTTAATATATTAGACACTTAGATATAAATATTATGAAATAGTAAAACAAAAAACATTCACATACTTTCATGACCTAATTGATTTCTGGAAAACCATCAAGTGAGACATATTTCTCTATAAACTGTGTTATTAAGATAATAAATATTTCCATTTTGTTTACAAGTTAAAGATTTTTCTGATTAACATTAAAATTTTGTTTTTATTTAATGTAACAAATATAACAGAAAATGTTTTAATTTATATTTATGCAGTTTTTTGTGAAATGCCGAATAAGATAATTTTACTTATTTCATCAAATTCGTTAAATTTATAATGAATTTTAACTTTAATTGATTTCAAAATTTATAACAAATAATTTCTAAAGTACAAAAACTGTTCACCTAAAATAG